AAAAAAAATGCTTGTCACTGTAACAGTATGAAAACTGATGGACCATGGTGTTCCCTGGAAAATAGCCCTATTCTCAAGAACACAGGTAAGCCTTGAGCCCAGGAAGCATGGACAGCCCACCCACCTCACAGTTGCCCTGGCACTTCTGGGCAATATGGGGAAGATCTCAGTAACCTGTGCATCCTACTGGGTGATTTTTCCAAAGACCTTTGTAAAATCTCCAAAAAAAAAAAAGGCTGCTGTTAGAGCACATTTCTTCAGTTTGCACACACTTTACAAGGAGTGATAATATCTTATAGTATTATTACAGAGATTAAAAGCTACTTGGAATTAAATGACATAGTCAAAAATATATTATAAATTAGACCAAACCATATTGAAATCAGTGCAGCAACAACCAACTCCCAAGCTGTGACTTCCTAAACAATTCACTTAATCTTTCTAGACCTCAGTTTTCTGATCTGTAAATGGGTTATTGTCAGAATTTAATGGCATAAGGCAAATCAAGCTCTTAACATAGTGAGTGCTCAGTAAAAAAAAAATCTACCACTAAAATACTATTAGTATTGCTTATTAAGACAGCCTCACTGAAATGTGGGTCTTGAGAGGCTGGCCAGGCTCGCTCATTGACCAAGGGTCTTCTCACATTATCCCTTGAGTCCTCACACTTAAGTTCATTCTGAAGTGAACTTACAAATTGTTCCTAGTCACACAGCCCCTCCCCATATTTCCTTACAAAATTGAAATTGCAAGCATTAAACAGTCTAGTGTATTTGTAATGGTGACCTATAAAGCTTTATTTTTTTCAGGATACTCCTTTTATTTGTAAGGTTTGTTCTTTTTTTTCAAAGATTTTTATTGGGTAATTGGGGGGATGGGAACAGTACTGGGGAATTAGGGGAAGGGGAACAGACAAGTTGCTGTCGTTTTTGTTCTTCAATCTAGTTGTGGAGGACGCTGCTTCACTGGCCCAAGTTGGCACCATCATTACGCTCTTCCCGGGCGAGGCAGATCAGTCGCCGGCTTCTGGATGGCCGTTCACTGCGGCTGCTAGCTGCTCAAGCTGGCTGCTGGCTACACACGGCAGCCCATGGCAACCCACTGCAGCAGGGGCTGCAGCCCACGCTGTCACCGGTGACTCACGGCAGCCCAGCTCCAGGTCGAGCTGTTGTTCAGCATCTTAGCTGTAGAGGGCAGCGTCACTGGCCCTCATATGTGGGATCCGAACCGGGGCCCTCTGGCATCCCAAGCGAGTTCTTAACCATCGCGCCACTCGGCCGGCCCGTAAGGTTTGTTCTTGAGTAGGAAATTTTTGCATTGATATTGAGAAGGATGAAAGAGAGATTTTTATCCATAATGTCAGTCAGGGCCTCAAAAAAATATTAAAGAGTGCTTTTCTTTAGTTGAAGATACTTCTGCTGTGGCATTTTTACCAGAATTCCCTGGAAACTATCCAACTCTCCTGAAACTGTTTGTCAAATTACACCAGTGATAACTGGCCACATGTTAAGAATAAAGGCATAGAAGGAAACATTAGTCAAGGAAGATATTTGTCAGTAATTACTAGATTGGAATAGTGACATTTTCCTAGAATAAGAAGAGCAGCCTCAAAGCTGTTCCTTGAAGACCACACTCCCCCACCCCCACCCTGTGTTTGCCCACATCTTCCCATTCATATCTGCAAGATTTGTTTTGTTCACTGCTATATTCTCCTGGTGCCTGGAACACAGCAAATCACTCAATAACCTTTGAGTGGGTGAATAAATGAATGTTACTGCCATCATTATATGTAAACAACTTACAAATCTATTGACTTTCCCATTAAATTAGTATGAAGAAGTTAAATGACCACCCCAGAAAGTTCAAGGTACTTCAATACTCGTGGCAAGCATTTATGTATCATTTTGGAGCTTCCTGAATTGTGTCTGTGACTTTCAAACTGTAAGTAGTCTGGGGACTATGACTTTCCAGCAGAGTTAGAAGGTGTGATCATGGGTTGGCAACACCCCTCCTCCCAAGCAGTCCTAGGGGTGGGAGCTTGGACTACTGCTGAACACAAAAACATTTAAGTGGCAAACAGAAACTCTGTTCATTTGCCAATAAGAGTAGAAAAAAAAAACAGCTACCATTTTTGAGAGCCTACAATTTGCCAACACTTTTGCTATTCTTTTAAATATTTACTATAATGAAATTGACATTATATTTATTCTTTTGGAGTATAAAGTGAGCAGTGATCAACTGAACAATCAGGAGAAAGAAAACAACAGCAGAAAATGCTGCAGCCAGCCAGCTTTTCTTCTCATGCCACAACTCTGAAGGCTTGAGGACTCAACGTAGCTACAAACTAAAGGTTGAGTATTATAAGGGCTCTCTACAGCTTCAGCATAGGTCTGTCTTTGTGGTGTGATCACTGGGCTTCATGCTTTGTATTTCACTCTGCCCAGGGGTTGGGTCTCCGCAACCTGCTGCTACGTCTCTTCTGATGAGGCAGAAAAGGATTAATAAAAGTGAACCTGAAGGGGGACTGCCCAGGCCTGCATCCCCTCCCCAGGAACCACCCAGGCTCATACCCTAGAAATAAATCCAAAATATCTAAATCCTCATAAAAAAGAGGAGGTAAGACCCAACTGGTATTAACTGGTCCTTCACACATGTGCAAACTGCCAAAACCTGTCCGTTAGTTGAACTCTAGCTTAATTATAATGCAATTAAAATGGAATAAATATTAAGCATTGCCCCCCCACACCCCACAGGTATTTTGTATGCATTCTGGGTATGAGCATGTGCAGAAAGAAACTAGTTATATAACCAACATATGTCAATCAAATGA